GTTGCCAAGCAGTTCCCAGCTGTCGGTGCGCCCAAGTCTCCCGAACGTCAGCGCCAAGCAGATTTGCTGTATACCCGGAAGCTATTGCCATTGGGTCGCCACCTTCCTTACAATGGTGATCCAGGAAAAAAGCAGCAATGGATGGACTGGGTCCTCAGCCGCCGCGAGGGCGTTTTGCTCATTCACTCTGCGCTTATGCATGCATGCACTGCTCTGTCTTGGGACAGAAGTGACCAAGATAAGCTAAAGCGCATCCTGGGGCTCTCAGACGAGGATCTGGTAGCGGACCCTGGCCGGATACAGACGGCGCTTGCCGAGCGACTTGAGAGCATGCGGCTTGGCCGCATTGGCTCTGTGCGAGTAAAGCAAGTTGCGCAGTTCCGCGCAATGCTTTGCTGAGGTCTGGACCCTCAGAATATCATCGGGAGCACTATCGGACATCTTGATGGCAAGCAGGCCAACGTGATGAGTCGCAAGATGGCACGGTTTTACACCCAGTTCAACGGTGACCTCAAGGCTTTTCGATTCAACATCTCTCAGAAGGTTGTTGATGCGACGCAAAATCCAGTCCTGCACTTCCGTGATGACGGCATTCATTTGAAGCATCCCGAAACAGGTGCAGACCTGTTTACTGTAAGGGCAGATTGGATGGTGTACATGGGCACGCAGGGCGTCGAGCTGCAGCAAGTATAGCAGCGGGAATTGTAGGCCGTTCAAGGTTCCTCTGCAGCCGAGCCAGCGATCCCTCCTGCGCCCGCGGCCGGCCGTCTGCCTCCAAAATATGTAGCAAGAAGCAAGGACGGACAGAAAAAGTTTATGCAGATTGCGCCCATTGCGGAGGAGGATGCCATCTGAGTATTTAAGCAGTGGCTTGACGAAGAATTTGCCTCAAACATCAACATTGCCGATACGCATTGGAGGGATCCCGCCAACCGTTTTCTCAAGTTGCCTGGTTGGATTCAAGCCAACTTTCTCAACCACCCGCACCGGCCAACTTGGGAACAGATTGTGGCTGACGGTGCAAAACTCAACTCGCCTTCAATTTTTATCTTTTGGGGCTGCATTCTCGCTTTGTGCGGCAAGTTCTTGGGTGAACAAAAGTATACCGTTCCTGGAACAAAGTATCCCAAGATTTCTGGCAAGCGCTGGTAATTTGCTGGTGCCCGCGATGACTCGGAGCTTACCCGACGCCCAGGAGAGTAAAAACAAACGCCTGAAGCGCGGGGCGGCTTTAAGACGTTTCAAGGCAAGGGAAGCCTCTATCATAGAGTCAAACATTTCTTCATCGTCATTGTCAGCCATAAGTTAAACTAGAAATTGTAGCGAGAGAAATTTCTTTGAATCAATTTATTCATATTACAGGGAAACTATCAAGTTTTATTCAATGTCGTTCATCATCCCATATCTTTCAACTGCGCTTGCCGTGCGATTCGTTACCGTCAACACACCTGTGTATCTTTTTCCACCATGCCCCTTTCCTACTGTTGTCCCATGCAAACATGTTGTCTTCCATGACCAAAGGAAGTTATGCTCCATTGCAATTGATATCCCATATTCCGGAAAATTGAAAATTCATATCCTGTCTGTCGCACTTTCCGACACTCCTTCCTCCGTCGTAAACCCAATGGCGTACTCCAACCTATCATTATCCACATGCAATCCTGTTTCGTAATTCTCTATCACAAACATGGGAAAATCTTCAAAAAACATACCGTTGGTGACTTGTTTCATCTTCACCACTGCATCCGAATGATAAACCCTTGTGTCATCCAAGATTTCCTTTACTAAGCCCGAATATCCTTTTGTCAAAATCCTTTCCGCCTCCGGCGTGCAATGCTCCTTCTTCAATACGTAATGCGCCGTGCCAGAACCCGCAAAGTTGTCCATGGTCCTCAAACAAACTCCCGTCACCACTATACGCTCTGAAGTGGGGTGAGATTTGCCGCGCATGACCGCCCGTTGCTTTTTAACAATTGTTTGGAATGTTTTCATTCGATTAGGAGCAATTTTGTTGGCTGTGACCATACGGCTTGCGAATAGAACCGTTTCACTGCTATCGCGATCCCGAATTTCGAGGTCCATAATGGTGGCCAGGACGATGACTTGTTGAGGCCTCAAATTGTCCTTGGGGCGCCACTGGATTTTACGGACGTCTTTTTCGCAATGTTGTGAAAGCACAGCTGTCTGTTGCTGGCGTTGATTCTCCCGCTTCCTCTCCCGCTGATTGAGTTTTCTACGTTGCGCCCATTCGCCGATCAGCTCCGGGGATCCATACACCTGCAACACTTGCGTAAACTTCTGCGTGGATGACCCGTTGGTCTGAAGCCAAGCCTCAAACTCATGTTGATGATTGAAGAGGTGCCGCCTCAGCTCGCTGTCCAACTTCTCTACCTCCCTCAAGATACTGGTCATTACGAAGGAGGATAGTAGACAAATCCTGCGGACGCTATTCCAGCCAAAAGGAGAATGGTGGCACGGTTGTGAACACCTTTCGAGCCAAGAGGAGAATGGCAAACAGAATTTGCGAACACTATACCGAGCCAACAGCAACAAAGCACTCGAGTAAAGCAGGAAAGCTGGACACCGAGCCGTGGCAGCAAGAGCCAAGGCTTTACCGTGTAGTTTTAGGGCAATGCTTTTGCAATTGCGCGAGAGATTGTTGAGCTCTCGAGGGGGAGGGGGAGGGCCCGGGGAGTTTTCTTCTCAGGCCGTACACGCTTGAGTGAGGACTTTAGTGGCCATGCGGTTTGTCAGCGCGGTTGCTAGGCTTCCGAGCGCGCTGAGCTTTGCCGTGCGGCTGGCGGAATCCTGGCAGCCGCACGGTAGCGGGGCGGCGACCGCGCTTTTGCCTGCCGACAGCGACCAACTGTAACCCTAACCAACAGCACTCAAAAAGCGTTTGTCACCTACCAGGCTGCCCGCGACACAGCCGGCCGCCGGGTTCCCCGCTCCAAGCGCAAACCACCCAAGTGCAAGGCTTCTGCTGGCCGGGCCACCCAGAGCACGCCCACCCTGGGGCCGGGTCCCCAGGCCGAACCGCGCGTTTCTTGCAAGCGGCGTGCTCACCATTGAGGGCTCCCTGCTACGGCATGGTTGAGGTTTTCTCGCTCCTTCACACGTGAAGTTGCGGGCTCCCTTGCTACGGCAAGGTTGAGGTTATTTGCTCCGTCACCCGTGACGTTTGAGGGCTCCCTGCTACGGCATGGTTGAGGTTTTCTCGCTCCTTCACACGTGAAGTTGCGGGCTCCCTTGCTACGGCAAGGTTGAGGTTATTGGCTCTGTCACCCGTGACGTTGAGGGCTCCCTGCTACGGCAAGGTCAAGGTTATTTGCTCCTTCCCTGGTGAAGTTGAGGGCGTCCCTGCTACGGCATAGTCACGGTTTTATCTGCTCCTTCCCTTTGGGGTTAAGTGAGGTCTCCCTTGCCGTAGCGCGGTTGAGGTTACGGGTTCCCCGTTCTGTTTACAGTTGTATGAACCTTCCATGTAAGGGGAGGAATACACAGAATTAATTAGGATACATGATATGTTCAGACAACTATCTAAGGGATGCCCACTACGCCATTCCAAATCTCCACTCTGAAGTTGTAGCCCGTGCGTAGGTTGCGCCAGGGATGCCCGTCAGCAAACATTGAGTCAATGTGGCGGACATAGGCAGTGCTGGCATGATCTCCCAAGCTTGCCCAGGGACAGCCCGCAAGTCCCTTCCCTCCCACACTATTACCCCACCATGAGCATGGCCAGGGGTAGGGACCGGAGGAAACCGGATTGTGAAATGCAAATTCTTAACCGCGCCCGCTGGCCCAGGGATATACGCCCCGGCCGCGGGGCCGTTAGCTGCATAAGCAACCCCGGGCGCGAGGCCAGCAAGACCATGGATAGAGATACCCAACACCACAACAACAGGGGTTCCTGCTCCATCATCAATCGAGATATGGAAGCCGTTCCCCACAGGGTTGGTAGCCCAATTAATCATGTTGTGGTTGAGGTTGTAGAACCGGACGTGCAGCGTCTGGTTGTTCCGAGCTCAGACTGCGTGCGCGTTGGGGCTACTGGAAGCAGATCAGAAAGCATGTTAGCGGGCTATCCTGTGCGCTGGAGCCACGGCCACCCCTACTCACGGCATGGGAGTGAGGAAAACGTAGTGCGGGAAAGGGACGTCGGCGCGGCGGCAACCGTAATCTGCAAACAACTCAGTGAGTACCGGGCCACCCAGCTGAGTAACTTCCTGACTCCGCCACGAAGCTAAGGGGAGTGTAATAGGGTAGCCCTGATATACCTATGTGTGCTGTGGTCAAGGAGAGAAGCAAATCGCTACGGGTGGAAGTGACGGGCGACTGCCCGTCGCTTTACATAGGAACTTTTCGGCAGCCATCCTTCACTATAGTAACCGTCCCAATTACGATAGATAGACATAAGAGCCACGGGAGTGGGTAAGTTGTATCAGGACTCCCTGGCTATTGTATAATTGACTTAACGGCGGACACACACAGAAAAGAATAGACTTCAGACTCTTCCCATTACTACACTCCATCCGTTGTATAGTGGTTATTAAACCGCCTTCCAAAGCAATGACTCCAAGATAGCCATCCCACAAGTGACTTGAAAATGGCTTTGAGTAGTCAAATATCAAGAATCATCCATTGTATAGTGGTTATTAGACTGCCTTCCAAAGCAGTGACTCCAAAAGGGCAATCCCCTTAGTATGAGTCTTCATCCGTTTTATAGTGCTTGTTAGACCGCCTTCCAAAGCAGTGACTCTGAGATAGCCATCCCACAAGTGACTTAGGATTGATTCTGAGTGGTCAAATATCAAGAATCATCCATTGTATAGTGGTTATTAAACTGCCTTCCCAAAGCAGTGACTCCAAGATGGCAATCCCCTTAGTATGAGTCTTCATCCGTTGTATAGTGCTTGCTAGACCGCCTTCCAAAGCAGTGACTCTGAGATAGCCATTCCACAAGTGACTTGGAAATGGCTTTGAGTAGTTAAATATCAAGTTCATCCGTTGTATAGTGGTTATTATACTCGCCTTCCAAGCGAGTGACCCGAGTTCGAATCTCGGCGGATGCACAAATGTCTTTTTTCCTTTTTTGCTGGCCGAGTGCGACGTTGACAACAAAGGGTTAAAGTCTCCTTACTCACCTACGCTTTTGTGACGTAACGATTCTGTTCTTGATTGACCCCGGGAGAAAGTGGAGTGGTGGGGAATTATTCTCGAATTCGACAGTTCCGGTGGCCATGTCGAGATGACGGGCACAATTGGACTCACAGGTCTGGTAGACTTGAAGTTGGCGGTTCCCCGTGAGGCGCTCGCAAGAATTTCGTCCTTGTTCAACGACTCTGTTAATTACATGGAACAGAATAGCCTCCGTCAATTTGTTTGAGTTAGGCATAGGTGGCATCAAGGTTGTGGAGATGCTGGGGCAATGTCGCCACGAAATGGCCTTTTCCTTTTTGTGGCGGGGCCAGCCCCGCACCCCGCCAGGGGGGCTCTGCCCCCCTTGGACCCCCTCCCCTCAACTGCCAGTACCAGTACCGTACTGCAACGGGGCGATTGATGAGAAATATGAGAAATGGAACGGGAATCAGCAATTTGGCAAAAAGTGCGATCCTCGGGCTAATGGCGCCTCGACAGCCTGTCAATCTCTATGACTAATACCTATTTGGGAGCCAATATAATCGTTTTACGGTGACCTGCTGGCCCTTGGTGATAATTGTCATTTCCCGGTGCAATGGCAACTTTTTTCGCCGCGCACGCTGCGTTCTCCTTGCTGACAGAATTACCGGGCAGAGGGCCTGTGTGGGGTCCAAGGCTGCTTTGAGAAAGAGCATCCATTAGCTCCACCACTTGTTCCTCAACAGCTTCATCTGCTGAGGCAAAGACAACATCGTCGCTGTCGGTAATTGTGTCGAAATGCAATTGCAGCAGTTGCGTTGCGGGAATTTGGACAGGGCTGTGTCACTGGCTATGCGGGCAGTACAATAGTAATTGCGCGAGAGTTCTTGAACATTTACTCAAAAATCCGCTGCCGGATTATACCAAATCTTGTATATAGCGTGCGGGGGGTGGAAAGGTTCTCTCTCTCTCTCTCGTTCAACAAACTGGTGCGATATATGCTGGAATTGTTATCAGCAACCCTGGTTGGAATGTAGGTTTTTCCTCGGGACCGAGCGGCCGTCGTGGGGCAGGGTGGGCGCAGGCGGAGTCGGGTGTTTTGCCGACGCTCTGTGTTGCTCCAGGACCAAACAGACCGACAGGCAGATGCTTCGTGTTTGTGCGTTGCTGTCTGTCCTTTCCCGAGGGTAATTATCTGCATCACTCTATTACATTGCTGCTGTCTACTGTATGCGCGATACGGCGCAAGAAAAAAGAACGACCGCCGCCCCCCTCGTAAGTTGTTCCGCGGAACTGTGTCGTCGGAGTTGCGTCGCCCCAGAAATCATCACGATATAAGACCTGCTCAAGCAAATATGTCCTACCTAGTACTTGACTGATACTTAAGCAACTCATCCCCGCTCCACCCCTCCTCTCAGCCACTGTCCAACGCATCTTATTTCCGTTGCTTGCAAAGCAACCGGCATCTTTCGTTCAATAGAGTGCGCCAAGTATTAGCGGCCACCTCGCGCCCCACCGCTACCCGACACACAATGGCCGACCATCCACCACCACACAACGACATGGAAATGTCACAGGTCGGCGCCAACCCGCCGGCGCATGCCGCAATCGCTGCTGCTGCGGCAGCTCCCACCGCCGCTGCTGCTGATGCATCGCCACTCCCCGCTGCCGAGACAGGACCGCAAAACGGCGCCGCAGAGATAGACGTCAAGGCCGGCGGCGGCAGAGATGATGAACCCGTTGTTGAGACATTCGCCTTTGTCGACGTTCATGATCCTGCAACGACAGGCCAGGCTGTCGCCGCGTCCTCGTCGGCGGCGGCGAATCCAGCCAGCGGCGGTGCCAAAGGGAAACCAAACCGAGTCGCATACCGTACGCTCCTTACCCGCTACTCCACGCCGCTCGAAAATTTTCTCATGATCTTTGGCTTGATCTTTGCCAGCGCCGCCGGCGCCGTCCTGCCGCTCATGACCATCTTTTTCGGCAAGCTTACCAATACGTTCACCGAGATTGGCATAGCCGCCGCATTAGGCCTGCCGATGACTAGCGATCTACAGGACAAACTGCAGGACCAAGTAAATCAAAACTCTCTCGTCTTTGTATACCTGGGACTGGCCATGTTTGTTGCAACCTATGCATACATGGCCACATGGCTGTACACGGGCGAAAACATCTCGCACCGCATTCGCGAGGCGTACCTACAGGGTGTTCTCCGCCAAAACATTGCCTACTTTGACAACCTTGGAGGCGGTGCGGTTTCAACAAAGATCATCACCGATACCCAGATGGTTCAGGACGGCATCTCGGAAAAAGTGCCCATGTTTGTTATGGTAAAGGGGGGCAAAAAGGCGTGTGGGGTCTGCCAGGAGAGGCTGCACACACTCTAAAAGGGACCCTCTAACTTGATTGCTCATCATCCCTTTGTGTTCCTTTCTTTTGTGCTTTTTCTTTGTTACAAAGAACTTCGCTACTTTTATTGCGGGTTTCGCCGTCGCATTCTCGCATAGCTGGAAGCTCACCCTCGTTCTCAGCTGCTGCGTGCCCGCCATTGCCATCACAGCGGCGTTTATGGGCAAATTTGTCGGCAAGTACACACGGGAAAGTCTCGCCTCGTACGCGTCCGCCGGCGACGTTGCCGAAGAGACATTCTCCTCCATCCGCACGCTGCAAAGCTTTATGGGCGCCGACAAAATGGCACTCGCGTATAGCAAGTTTCTCGATCGGTCCGAGATCATTGGCGTGAAAAAGCAGATTGCGACCGGTCTCGGCTGGGGAGGAATTCAGTTCATCATTTTCGGCACGTATGCGCTGGCGTTTTGGTTTGGCTCCAAGCTGTTTGTCGACCGCGAGATTCTGTCTGGCGACATCATGACGTGCTTCTTTTCCGTGCTCATCGGCGCCTTTGCATTGGCTGGAACTTCGGCCGAAGTCCAAGCATTCTCGTTCGCCATCGGTGCTGGAACGAGCTTGTTTGAGACGATCGACCGCGTTCCCGAAATTGACAGCGCCGACGAAAGCGGCCTGCGTCCGGCGGAGGTCAAGGGTCACATTGTGGTCAAGGATGTAAAGTTCCGCTATCCCTCTCGTCCCGAGGTTGTCGTTCTTCACGGTATGAACGTTGACATCAAGCCGGGCACGACCTGCGCGCTTGTCGGATCTTCAGGATCGGGCAAGTCAACGATTATCCAACTGCTCGAGCGATTTTACGCGCCCGAAGCCGGCACGATCACGCTGGACGGCAACAACATCGACACGCTGAACGTAAAATGGCTGCGCCAGCAGATGGGATATGTGACTCAGGAACCGATCCTGTTCAAAGGAACCTTATGGGAGAATGTTGCGCACGGACTGGTCGGATCACCGCAAGAGTTCTTGTCGAAAGAAAAAAAGATGGAGCTTGTTATTGAGGCTTGCAAATTCGCCAACGCTCACACGTTCATCTCGGCTTTGCCACAAGGATACGAGACACGGATCGGCGAGCGGGGTCTCTTGCTGAGCGGAGGTCAGAAGCAGCGTTGCGCTATCGCCCGCGCGATTGTCAAGAACCCACCGATCCTGCTTCTTGACGAGGCATCCTCGGCACTTGACTCGGAAAGCGAAAAACTAGTGCAAAAAGCTCTCGACCGTGCGGCCGAAGGACGCACCACCATTGTTATCGCGCATCGTTTGTCTACCATTCGCAATGCCGATCAGATTGTGGTGATGGACCAAGGTCGAATCATTGAAATCGGCAATCACCACTCGCTTGTAAACAAAGAAAACGGCTTTTACCGCAAGCTCGTTGAAGCCCAACAGGTGTCTGCCAAGGAAGAGCAGGAATCGTCGGCAACTGCTCCAAAAGTCGACCCGGACGCGATTCAAATTGACCCCATCGCGGCGGAAGCGGCTGAAATTCAGGCCGCGGCACTCAAGCGCACAAACTCGACCTACTCGCGTACGAGCTCCCGCCGAATGTCTGCCGACCCGGCAGCTGCAGTTGCTGCAGCCGAAGCGGCGAGCAAAGTCGGCACGCTTGCTTCGTTCTTTGACTCGTTCCGCGTGTTTGCCCGGCTGGTCCGCTATAACCGCCCCGAGATTCACTACATGCTGATTGCGTTCATTGGAGCGCTCGTCAACGGCGCTACTCAGCCGGTGTTTGCCATCCTATTTGGAAGGATCATTCAGACATTCACCATCACGGATCCGCAAGCAATGCGCAAAGAGGCCGACCGGTGGGCAATGTGGTTCTTGGTCCTAGGAGTCGCCAACCTGTTTGCATCGTTTGTGAAATTTGCCATGTTTGGAATTTCGGGCGAGCGGCTAACGACCCGCTTGCGTGATCGCAGTTTCCGCGCCATGTGCCGGCAAAACATCGGATGGTTTGACGAGGAAAAGCACTCGGTCGGCGTGCTGACGACCAACTTGTCGAACGACGCGCAGAATGTGCAAAACATGTCGGGGCAGATCGCGGGCAACCTCCTCGAACTTTTTGCTAGCATTGCGGGCGGCGCACTCGTCGCCATCATTACGGGGTGGAAGCTCGGTTTAGTGGTCCTGTCGGTCTTGCCACTCATGATTGCCGCCAATAAGTGGCGAATGGATTTAATTCGCAAGGGGAACCAAGCCACCAAGATCTATTACGAAAGTTCGGCGCAGGTCGCCTGCGAGGCGGTCGGTGCAATGCGCACAGTTGCGGCACTCGGACGGGAAAAGGATGTCGCGGATCAATACCACCGCGATCTCGAGACACCACTCGAGATTGGCCACAAGAACGCGATTGGAAACACGGCCATCTACGCGTTTTCTCAAACAATCACGTTCTTGATGAACGCGCTTGGATTCTGGTACGGCGGCTCGTTGATCGTTGACGGAACTTACGGCGGCGAGACTGGCATCCGGACGTTCTTTACTGCATTCATGGCGATCGTTTTTGCGGCACAGGCCGCAGGACGAGTGTTCTCGCTTATGCCGGATG